CCCAAGAGGTTTTTATTTACACCAAATTCCAAGAAGGGGATTACGAACAAGTTATTGATTTCAATCTTGGAAGCCTTTTGTTACTGTTTGGAGACTACTGGGGCACAACTTTCTGAGGGGCACAATTAAATTGGAAGACATTTAGCTTCCTTCAGTAGGCACTGGGGCTGCACAGGACTTAGCCCTTGGAAAGAAAAGTTTTCACTTCACTGACATGAGCTCCCCCTGAAGCACAGAGGAAAAGCTCAGTATAATACACTTTCGCTGTTCTCACCTCAGCTGACTTGTATTAGTCAGCAGCCTACCTCTGAAACACATGCAGTATATGCACCAGGCTGTGTGTGTGCACGTGTGTGTGCGTGTATGTTGAAATAGCCTAGTTTTTGTCACGATGTGGAAGACGCTTTGTGAGTGTATGCTGACCTTGAAGTGCTGTTATTCATAAGCACAATTGGAAATGACGCGTTAATGCCACTATCTACTTAAGACTGAATTTGTAACTATCTTGTCCCAAAGCTTAATATAATTCAGTGCATATTTTAATACACTGCGTGTTGTTTGCTGTTTTTCTGAGGCGGGAGGGGATTGAAAAGCGTATTACATCTGAGTAGCTTTCCTCCTCGAAGGACGTTCCATGATGCATAGTTAGTGCAGGATTATAAAGTATATATTCATTGCAGATAATTTTAACTATAATACTGGACGTAGAAAACTAAAACTCCAGAAGTGCTGGTCAAAGTTGGTTTCAGATGCAGTTGAACACATCTTGGAATCTTACAGGCACAAAGCCATAAGCAATTATTTTTCAACTATATTAACAACGGCCCAGCTACTTACTCAAACAGCAAGAGATGTGCAACTCGATGAGAAAAAAGGCTAAATGAAACTTGACATGCTTATTGCATGCCCCATACGTTCTTCTTTTAAATAGGACCTGACGAATGTGTCTACAACCAATTCAGAACAGAGGACAGCAAGTTTTGCTCAAGCCTGATGAACAGTAGGAGGCTGTATGTGGGCCTCTCTGTGGGGCTGCTACTGTAAAATCTGTGCTTTTCGCTAGTACGTATGTTCTTCCAAACTCCCCGGTTATGCTAATGTAGCATGGCTTCAGTGGGATTTTTGTTGGCGTATGTGTCCTGGCAAGGGAAGGATTTATTACTTACATCACCAGCCTGGCAAATGTAAGATGGGCCTTACTCTGTAACTGAGATTATTAGCTAATGGCTATAACCAATCCCAGGCGTGGTGCTTCCCATCATTACTGTCAATTATGTGGGCAAGATCCATACAGCAAAATCAGGATGACGGGGAGAAATTGCATGTCATCAGCAAGCTACAACTTGAAAATGAAGCCTATAATGGTGATGCCTTTTGGCTATGGAACATGAGGGAACAGTGGGCATTTGTGCATGATCTGCAAATACAAGAGGTGAGAGAGAAAATCAAAACAAAGCAGAACAACTTGCTCAAGGTATGTGCAGCCAGGTGAAATCCTAGTGCCAGGACTTGTGCCATCCAGTCACTTACGGGCAACTACTGTAGTCAAATGCATATCGACATCATTTCCTAACCAGAAAACCAGCTTGTAATTAAGAAAACAAAGAAGTAAAACCAGGTGAGCTCCTTTTGGCCGGTCATGACCAAGGACACTTGCATCTACTAGCAGATGCATTAAGAAATTTTGACATGCTGAGGCCAACACATATCCACCTCTCCTTCCCTCCTTAACACATGCTATCTATGATTTTTCTTTTTTTTTTTAATCTCCCTCTTCTACACCCAAATCATGTCTTTAAGCCCTATTCTTGTTAGAAAAATAGCCAAGATAGTGGCAGCCTGAGCTTCAGCATTTGAGGGAAAAGCCTCAGGAACCCAACCAACAAAACTTGTGTGCTTACTTACATTACAGAATTTTTTTTCTTGTCATATATAAAGGAGCTTCTGTGATTATCAGATTTTGTAGTTCTGCTTTGTTTATTCACCTGCAGAAGCTGTTTACCTCCTACATTCTACCACAAACATCATCACATAATTACATTATCTCATCCAAATCAGAAGGCTCATAACCAATCCAATCATTTGCTGACAGTGATGATTTCAGCAACTTTCTTGCAGAAGACAATACACCAAACTTTCCCCATAGCAATAAACTATGAAGTTACCTTCATCATCTATTCATTGACACACTGGAACATTGCCACTTAAAACAGAGCTGAAGTACCATCATTGTGTCATTATTTCTCCAACGGCAGATAGCTATGCACCACGTTTACTTATTAAAACCTTTTAGAATAAAAATAATGTGCCACTGAGTGGCTTTCCAACGTCTACCATTACCTCACGTACCTGGAATGTCAGGAAAAAAACCATCCCCATCTGGTTTATATTATTAATGCAATAGTGGAAAAAAACTTAATCTATGTCCTTGACAATCTCTAGTGCTCATATGAAAGATGCATTTTATTAGGGCATTCACACTATGCACGAAGCACAGAAACATTACTTATAGTTTGTAATACTTGGCGTTTAAATTTCTTCTGAGAAAAGCTACTGTCTCTCAGTGTGATGTGCTGAAGATGTAACTAATGGTACATCTCCTGGGAATGTGAATACCCTGTGGAAAACAATACCTGGAATATTTCAGGTGAACAACTGTTTATTTTTCCCATGAGTCATACCTGTACCCCTGCATTACAATTAACTCATAACTGAAATGTGCTGTGGAGAACAATATTTTCTTTGAATTTAGGAAAAAGCTATGCTATAATTAATATGAAGGAACAGCTTCCTCTCCAACACCAGAGTATTTGAAGCTTTAAGAAGCCTGTCACGATGTCAGATTTCTGACACCTTGGCCTTAGAAAACTAGTCTCAATACCAAGTTTCTTACTGGGACTTGTCTGCTCACCTTCCTTCTGCTTCCCTGAGCTAAGGACAAGAGCTGCACATGTGTACCAATAGTGGTAGAAAGGCTGGGGCAGGGCAAACATGACAAAAAACCCCAAACTATGACAATTGTGTATCAGACTTGTTAAAACTCTCCTTTATCACATTGGCTTAGAAAGCTTTTGCTACTTATTCAGAGTATAGAGTGCCTCTTTTACTTCACGTTGTATTGCTTATTAAAGTTCAGGCGTTCTCCTCAGTGAGCACTGTGTCCTCCAAACTTCAGCTCCGTTGGATGCATTTACACTACATGCACTGGGGTCTTAGTGCCCTACCACTCCATAAATGCTAGTTTTGTGGTGATGCCTAACTGACTATATACCTTCACAGTGTCCCCCAGGCGATGAGTCACCGTTGGACGTCCAAGCACTTGCTTTTCTTCCTGTAGCACCATTCAGAAAACAGCACTAACTTGCCACACTACCTAAAAA